CGTCGCCATGATTTAGTCGTTGCTTTTAGTCCATATACACATGATTTTGGCTCTAGTTTAGAGTTTGGAGTTACAATTATGGAAGTTGTCGGTTTGTGTGGGCTGGGGTTTAGCTAGTGCAACACTAAGGGTTTAGTCGATATGGCATTATGGGTCTCTTTGGTTGCTAGAAAGGATATGAAGCAGTGGTCCTGTTTCTTTATTTGTTTTAGTATATTATTACTCTTTTAGGAGTGTTGAGGCCCAAAAAATACATGGTTGGGCCCGAATAAATTTCTAGCCAAAGACGATATATTATTGGAAAAAGATCTGATTTGGAACACATGAAAGTATGACATACACAAGTCATACTCCGCACGACATGCTAAATAAAAAATCCGTCGAGCTAGGAATTGAGATTAAAATTATAAAATGCATTTAGCTCTGCAAATCCATGCCAATTATCCTATCAAGCGCTATATTTAAAAGCATGCCAAGCAACATGTCATGCCAAGCGGGAAATTATTATTTCACACCCAATCGCACTACAAGCTTAAGTGGGCCCAAGCCACTCAAATGCCCGGGGCTTGCTTGAGTGGGTTGTGGTATGGATGGTAACGAATTGTCATGGGGCCCATTGATGGGCCGAGAAATGGAAGTCTCGGGTCGCTTGGGGGCCTCGGGACTCAAGCCCATTTTCTTAGGCTCAAATGTGGGTAAGCACAAGAGAGGAAATATCCCAATTGCTTTAATTAGAGTAGCCCAACCAAAATAACTCATTACTTTAGATAGCCCATAAAGCCCAAATACTTGGTGAATTTAACCCACTTATTAGATGACTTGGCCTTCTATATTAAAGGACCCATACCATTTGAATAAAAGGAGTCCAAGGCCTTCAGCACTTGGCTGAAGCAGAAGTCCACGAAGAAAGCCAAAGATTCACATGTGAGGGGCTGCTGGGAGAACAAGTTCCAAGTGCAAGCATTCAAGAAACCAAGGGGTATTAACATGCAGGGGAAGATGTTATCCCTTAAACCAGCAGGCGCACCCATTTTCTTTCCTTTATCAGATTTGGCCATGAAAGGAGGAGGAAAGAAGAGAAAGAAGATAAGTGAAAATGGAAGCTCTCCTCTAAAGCTGCTGAAGCCTCGAGCTCCCAAAAATCCCTGATTTTGTGGGATTGGGCAAAGCTGATTTTTGCCTCCATGAGGTAAGTCAAGAAAGAGGAGAA